CCTGGTGTGACTGCTTGTTTCACAGTTTTACTGTATTTTCAAGTTATTAAACCAGCCTCATCTACAATGAGTGTGTATAGACAATTCAGCGAGAAGATGCCGTGAAGACGGTGAGCAGACGACATGGCGCGAACGAATACATGTGGAGAGGCTAATCGCTGTTTTTATTGGCTTAGGGGCCCTTTAGCCCCCACAGTGTTGAAGGTTGAGGAGCCAAGGCGTTTTGGATCGCCCGCGAGACGAAGTAAACGCAGCGCGAGCCATGCTGTCGTATGGCCCGCGTCTCGCATAATTTCGAATTTGGCCACGGATGGCGCCCCGTGCGTTTGACCCAATGCAGCCTGCGTTTGACCCAGTTCTCAACTCTTATGATCCTGCGAACGCAAGAACAACCTGCGCAACGAAGTTTGGCGACCCAGTGTCTTGGGCCCCTAATTCTCAAACTCTCTATTATTGCGTTCTACTTCCGTTAGGCATTGCGTTCTTGCGCTGCAGTCACACTGGAAACGCGACTGCACGATGCCTATTGGCCCTTAGATCGAGTGGAGTCGCCGCCTGGCGGCAACTGGCCGAAATGGTGAAGGGTGAATTGCTCTTTGCGTCGTTGGCCACGTCGTGTTTTTATGTGCGCGTACGTCATGCACGTTCTCAAAGTGTGGTTTGTCCGTTCGTGTCAGCGCGAGCGTAACTGTCTTTACGTATGTCTGAAACAACGTACGAAAGCATTTCGTTTTTCTCGGCTGCTAATGCTTATTAATAAGACCGGCGAGTACGACTTTCCAAAGTGTTGTTTATTGTTATTGTACCCTCCATTCACCAGAATAATTTAAGAGTGGGTGCCACTTTGTTTCTAGCACATCGCGAAATGCTCTTGGCATCCTCGCATCCTCCCAAACGCGAGGACTATTAAATTCTGGGTGAATGCAGCGTTCTATAGCAACTCGGTTGTAAAAAAAAAAAAAAAAAAAAAAAAAACTGGCTCTAGGTCATGCACTTGCGCTCTGTTGGTTAAACTACGACACTGTAGTTTAACTATCATGCGGGAGCCTTAGCTGTGTTTATCTGGCTATTGTACCAATACATAAATATTACTATCACATGAAACTGTGCGACTTCGGTACTTACACACTACTACGTCTTGTCTTCACCGAGTTAAAGCGTGCGACCGTGTGCTTAGATTTAAGAACGCTTTAAAGAGCCCAGACGTTGAAAATTAATTCAGACGGCATGCCCTATGTGTAATGTACAATTTCACTGGAAATTTCACATTTCTTGCATTGGTCCATCGTTTGAGTGGCATTTAGTTAGTGTCCGACGGAAGGCAGCGGTAATTTTTGTCTATAAAACAAAAAAAAACAAAAAATTGCTAGTCCCATTAACTGAGCCTTTGCTGTAGCATCGTCATACACGTAATCTATCGATGAAAGCTTTCTGCTGATTCAGATTTTAAATTTTTACTGGCGCAAGAACATGTGCGTACACGGGGTAAACGCAGTGTAGCGCAAACCTCCGTCAGCCACTAAGCTTTCCTGATTAGACTTATCGACTGCCCCACATTTTGTGGTGAACAGAATAAGAAAAAAAATCATATGCGTATAAGGTGCGAACGGTGGTACTGAACGAATTGCGTGCACAGATATGCGGGCTTTCTACGATCTTTCTTTCTCTCTTTTTGGTAGTATGCAGATGACAAAGGTGTAAATAAGTAGTTAAGTCACGCTACAGCAGTGCGTATCAGGAGGAACACAAGCTAACCACGTACGAACAACACAGCAAATGCGTGATATAGTGCGAAAGCGTGATATATGTCACCTAGAGCGAGCATCCCTATGAAAGACAGAATGCGATTAACTCGCAGGTAATGTTAACGTAGCATCGGAGAAGTGCACCGATTCAGTAGAAAAAATTGTAGATATTAACAGTAAACTGTAGTCAACGCATCTTATCTGCCGACAATCAGCTCAGACCGTACGCAACGAAGTGCCGCTGCGTGTATCTGTATACGCGCCGCCGACCACCTATGCACACTTTCGCGGAGCAGTGCTGCCACCTATTGCCCGATCTGGCCGCGGATACGTTATCGGCCGTGCAGAGCCCCAATTGTGAGGCCTGTGGCACTCCTTAGGAAACAGAACATATCTTGTGCGCCTGCCATGGAAATTCGATACCAAGCAGCAAGTTTCCGAAAAAAGTTCTGTTGGAACCACCACTTCGTGATCAACTCGATATTCTGAAAGCGCTGACCAATTTTTTAACAGATACGGAACTCGACAAAAGGCTATAAATTGATGCAAAGTCTTGCTCCATCGCCACCTTCTTCCTCATCATCAACAACATCTCTCTCTGCTTTCTTTTTCCCTTCCCCTTTCCTAACGCTGCGTAGCAGGCTAGAACATGGATTCAGGCCAACCCCACCACTTTTCTGTATAAATAAAATTTCTCTCTCTCTCTCCAGTCTAACTAAAATTTGTGATGGGGCCTAGTGATTGGCCCTTTAAGCCGTTTGTGAAAAAATTTACGGTGAAGTGAAAGAGGTTAAGGGTCCCTAAAGATTCCGCAGTGACCATGGATGTCGTTCATTCATCTTACGTTGGTGCCGGTGACTTTACTGCTGAGTGTGCATGGATACGACATGTGGTGCAGGAAACAGTGCTTGCATTCCTCTCAAGCGTGTCCATTCATATTGAGGGGCCCTTTGGAGCGCTCACAAATGAAATGGCCTTATATCGACCAGGCTCCCATTTGGGTACCCCTACCTGTTTTCAAATAAGTCAGAAACACTTCTGAAGGAAAATAGGAACTACTTTTAGACACTACTTTTAAAACTACTTTTAGAACTACTTTTAGAAGTCTGCGTGCTTACCCGCTTTAACGGGACCCTGAAACGGTATTGACAATTTTTTTACAAACACATTGGGCCGGTAGACCAAGTCCCTAATTTAGAGACCGATTTGAGCTCTGTGCGTAAACTGTGTAATTTATTACAACGCTTTGAAGCCGCGAATCGCTCCATGACTGCAGATCGCTGCGACTCGGCCAAACGCGTTTTCAACTGCCCATGCACAAAGCGACACACTCTGCCCCACTGATGTCACTGTTTCCTGCTATCTGATTGTCTGCGGAAAGCGCAGCACAGGCTGCCGGTATCGGATCGGCCGCGGGATTTACGCGTATGCGGTCTCTCATGCCGCATGGTGACGCAGGAGCCGTGAAGGCGGAGCTTAGCCCTGAGCCAACGCCGACTAAATTTCAAGGCCGAAAGGCTGCCGCAGTGACGTCAGAGGTTGGGGGCCCAGTTGCCCAACTGAGCATGCTCAGTAAGACTTTTTTTTCCCACATCTTTTATTCGGCCCAATCAAGCCGCAGCAGCTGCGAGAGCGGGAGCGTTGGTTCTCCTAAAACGTGAACGAAACATACGCTTTCCGCCGCGTTCGCGGCGTAACTGGGCCCCCACCCTCTGAGGTCACTGCGGCAGCCTTTCGGCCTTGAAATTTAGTCGGCGTTGCCTGAGCGCTCAAAGGAAGAGTTGAGGGCAGTTGAGGGTGGAAGGCCGAGGGGAGGGTGTTTCGATTGAACTCTGGTGCTAATGATTTGCTCCAGCAGTGGTCTAATCAAAAACGGAATGCGAAAAAAAAAAACGTTTCAGAGACCCTCTAAAGCACGAGAACTTGCTAGGGAGCTGAACTATATGATCCGCCTGTTGCGAGAGACACATGCTAAGCACCCCAGCAGAACGCAGAGGACCCGACGCTAGAAAGCGTTGCCGATCTAAACCACGGTGTAAGATATACTGTACGTTACACCGTGATATAAACGCTAGAACGAGTGCCGTGTCGTCGGAGGTCCGAGGGCAAGGTGCGAATGAAAATGAGCTAGTTCCAGGGCAGCTCGACCAGTTTTAAATGCGATTGCATTTCTTAGTCAGGCTATGTCAGGCATCCGGCGTTGTCCGCGCGCTGGCAGGTGTTATATTTCCACTGTCACTCCTTCTCCCATAGCAACACGGAGCATGTGGTGCGAGAGAGTGTAGGAGAGGGCAAGTGCAGTGCTTCGCAACTCCTCTCTTCTCCCTGCGCCCGACTTTCCTGTCCACTCGCGCCTCTCTCGACCGTTCGCTGGGCGCCTCTCAAAAAACACACGGAAATGTCTGCTCGAGACGCCGCTGTGAAACGCTGAACTGAGAACATTGCTTGTTTTGTTCGCTTTATAGTATTTTTTTTAACCGTGCACGCTAGCTACTAAAGCTGGAAACGCATAGCACGTTTCTCGCGACAGAAAAACGCCACGTGCGGCGAATGGCGCTATTGGCTGCACGGTGTAAGAAAAAAAAACATTATTCCTCTAACGCTGGTCTCTCGCTTGCGAAACGCCGTTATGGACGCCACGCAATGCATTCACATTTTCTCACGATTCCCTTCGAGAAGGGGGGGACATGTTTTCGCCACCGTCGAGTAGAAATCTGGAACGCTTGCTTTCGTTCCCATCAAGCGATACCGCTGCATCATAGACTTACTTTAAAAGGAGCCCCGCAACACTTTTCCATGTCACTTTTGAATGGCCCCATGAAAGGATTTTAATGCCTTACGAATCCTTCCCACAAAAATTTTCAGAATCCGTTGAGAACGAGCACAGCTACAGAGATTTGTCGCACCCAGCAATTGCATTCTCTTTTTTCCCGTTTCTAAGACCGAACTTGAAGGTCATTGGAGAGGGGTGACATGAGGGAAAGAAGTTGCATCACGTTACATCACATTGCATCGTTAATCCTAGATATTTGAATTGAGCAGTATTCATTAAACACTTGTCTCCAATGGTATATGAACCTGGTAGTATATGAACGATGGTATATGAACATGACACCTGGTACAGTGCAGGCCAGTAGCAGCTAACTCTGCGCATTTGGAAAGTACATGAACGTGCTGACAGCAACAATTCAAAAGACAGGTGGTGCAACACCACAGCAAGCGGTGTAAATAACAGGCACCCATGGACAAAAGGAGTGGAATTCAAGAGCTTGTTTTTATTTGCTAGGCACAAATTCAATGAGAAGGTACATGCAATCCAGCTAAGAAAAGTGTAGAGGACTTAAATTGTTGTAATTGACATAAATGTGAAGAAATGAAAGCAAACAAAAAGGCAACTTGCTGTCAGCAGGAACCAAACCTACAACCTTCAAAAGAAAAAATGCCCAATGCTCTACCGATTGTGCAACGATAGTGTTTAGCCTCCTTATATGATCTGTTAGTTCTGAATATACATGTTGATTATGTTACAGTTCCAGAATGTTTTTTGTTATGAATGATTACTGAGTAGAAAACAAATATACGAAAATGTATCTGTTTTTCACTCATGTAATATGCCTGTGCAGGGCTGACAGTATTTGTAAATAAATAAATTTATAGATAAATATCTATGTGCTTTTAAACTTAGGAGTGCCAGTCAGTGCCACTCAGAGTTACAACAGTGAGTTTGGAACACACTTTTCTTGCATGCGGACTTTACGCAGTTGGTGACATTTTTACGAGTAGGATGTTGACCAATGATCTCTTATACTACTTAAGGCACCAAGTTTACCAGGGTGGCAGCTTGTTTGCTTGGTACTGCATTCTTAATTAAAGGTAAACATTTTTAAAAAGAAATATATAGGACAGAGAACTCTGTCATATCTGACTTTTTCCCCGAAACGCATTGCCCACAAAAAAAAGTTCACTAGTTGACATGAACCTTTAGAGTGCCATCACAGACACTCCATACAAAGGAATTGGTGTGCATAGATTGTACATCAATAATTTACCGATTACATTGATGTGCATCTTTGCACACAAATTTCTTTGTTTGGAGTGCTGGGTGAGATGCCTTTTAAATTCGGATTTGCCTTTTGATGTCCTTCTAAGAACTAAATGTAGGTGCTCCGTACAGCATTTGTTTTTTCTGAAGTGTGCTCTACATTTCTTGAAATTATGTAACAGCTTTCCTTCTTTCATACAATTAACATATGCCATATTTATGGCATTAGTTGATGCTAAAGAACACATTGTCGTGTAAGTTGCACTCACGGAGGCAAGCTCGTTGTCGTCTCAACGCATTTTAACAAAGGCACTTCATCTTTGCCATCTCATTATTTGGAACACACAGATTTTAAAAACTGCAAAACTGCTTTGGGATCACAGGCAGGTTTGCTAGCACGGCATTTAAAGGGTTCCATTCCAAGCTCCACGCAGCAAGAGGAAGACAACTTCTCAGCACACTGGAGGAGTAGTGATCAGGAGAGAATTTTCACAAGTCACATCAACTCAAAACAAAAATGTGAAAATACAGGGATATACTTATATACACACACACACACACACACATTACAAAACTGACCACAGAACATAGGTATGACCAGACATACTTCGAAGCATGTTCGCAACATGCTGACATGTTTACTACTTCGCAACATACCAAGCATGTTGAGCGGAAAAGTTGGCTCTGATGCAAGAGAAAAAATATGGAAAGTTTGCATCATACGATAGTGTAGTGATGATGAATGTGTATTTTTGGAGTGTTAGCTATGTGTTTAACAAGCTTCTTCCTTTGCAATACCAATAAATATTGCTCCATATGCTACCGAAACAAAGTTTTTCCTTTTCTTTTCATATCATGTTGAAAACACTGTTACTAAGTATACAAGGTATATAACATCACTTTTCAAGCTACACAGGCATTCACTAAAGTGGCTTTATAAAAACTCAATCATCAGAGTAATTTTTTATGGATCGTACTTTTGGGTTCAACGAAACGCATAATCTAAGGTTCATAGACTAACAATGTGTTAACGAAGTACAGCATTGCACTTTTCCTTCAATATTTACAGCACTGTTCATAACATCATTATGCATTGTTGCTCGCCCTAACCGTTGAACATTGCTATAACAAAATTGCACATTATATAAAGATGCCTAAGCTGTATTCAATATTTGTGATTGGTAAAAACACTAACACCAATTAGCTCAATAGATACAAACACAAGACCGAAGCATTCAGGGGGCCATCAAAGGGCTGCCTGTCAATTTCGACAGCCTCTCAACGGTTTTCTATGAAAACTCTGAATTGCAAGTGTATTTTGCATCACTGACATGGAACTGTACGTAATATCAGTAAAATCACAGATAATTATTACTGACCAGCCAAGCCACAGGCCAAAGCACACACGTCCAGAGTAGTTAACCCATTTGACCTTGCGACATTATGAATAGCATATATTATTTCAGCGGTGAAGCTGGTCATATCTGCTTCACCATAAGCTATGTAATCTCAAACACCGCATTTTGTCGTTTTGTTATAGCATCGAAAAACCCACAGAAAGGTCAAGCATAGACAGCTGGAACTTCAAGTTCATAACAGGTTTGTGCAAGGTTCACTTAATATACAGCATGTTTAGCTGCATTAGCTGTACACTGAACAATATCAAGGCGGCCTTCAATGGTTAGCAGCTCGGGTTTTAAGCTGACATTGCAGCAAAAACTCCGTGTATCAGAAATGAGCTAGCTCTGCTTCAGCGATGAAATGATCGAACTCTTACACAACTAACATTTTTTTTTAGTAATGTGCTGGGATAAGGCATTTTCTTTCACTTGTCGCAACTACTCTTGTACAATAACAAATTGCACAAACTTGACTCAAAAGCCCCTATGCCGGCACTGTCATTTCACAGGATACATATACGACAGGCATTTTCGTTCGAAACCCTATAAACCTTTCTTTGTCTCAATCTATTGTGGCAACTTTAAGTGACAATGTGAAATGCCAATTTCGTGCTTTTTAACTGCCTGTTGCTAGCCATCTGCAAAACTAAATGAAGCACTCAGCCTTTCAAGTTTCAAGTTTTCAGGTTCTCCTGGACTGTCAAGAGCCCAGTTATCTAACGGCAGCACGACGACCTTTCAAGTAAAGCTTGCAGCTCCGTGAGTTGGTTCATACTTCACAATAAACTGGTGTGCTCAAATAAATAGAAGGACACAGGATGACCGGACAGGGACAGGCGAAATAACAGCTCTAATCAGAGCAGTTATTGCAAGGGCACATTAACACGTGCCTGATTGATGATTGATTTGTGAGGTTTAACGTCCCAAAACCACTATTTGATTATGAGAGACGCCGTAGTGGAGGGCTCCGGAAATTTTGACCACCTGGGGTTCTTTAACGTGCACCCAAATCTGAATTAACACGTACCTGTCCTTGTCCGGTCTTTTCGTGTTTTTGTTTTTATTTGCTCAAACCAGTTTACTTTAAAGACAAATTTTTATCGGCAGGTTTCTGACATTAGAAAACATGCAGGGAGATTCTTTTTTTTTTGCTTGATACTTCCTGTATAAACGGTGTAAGCATATGTAAATTATTTTTTAAACTACGGTGCGTAAATTTCTTGCATAATATCTGATAGTAAAGGAGGTACAATTTTTTTTTCTTCAACTTGTTAGATTAAAATGAGAGTGCTCGCATATGCAGGAGATGCACAGGCATTGAAGACGGGAAATGCACCACCTTGTGGCACAAGACAGAGTTTGCATGAATTTGCAGCATTGGCTCTCGCAGTTCAACCCATGACCCTGCACTCCATCTAGTGTGAACACACAAGGCACCAGATTTACACAGCTTCAACCAGAATGTGTTAATAGAGTAAAAGTTAACATAAAAAATAATATAAAATGAACCAATAACACACTGAGCGACACGAAAGCAATAGTCTGCAAAGATATCAGCCATCGCAATCAAACATGCATCGACTGTCAACAAGGAATGACCCTTACAAAGCAATTGTTTTTAGTTGCACTCCCCGTTAACATTAGTTATCATTGGAGCTGCCAACACCACAGTTAATATGATTTTATCTCAATAAAATACTTTAACATGCTGATTAGAGCAGTTAGAGAATTAAAGCAACACGTGCACTAGTTTGTCAAAATGGTCAGGCAGCTGACAATTTCCATGTTTTCCAATAAATACACATGCATTTACTTAATCACAACGAATATTATCTCTACTAATCATCACTTCCCATCACCCATTTCGATATTCAACGAAGCAGTATTCAGAGAAACTACGCCGAAGGACAATAACATTGCCAACAAATGTAATCAGCACATTGCACACAATATGATGCGTCCAAAAAGAATCACTACAAATCCATCACTGGGCATCTGTTGCACCGATTAGACTACGCTACAAAAATGACAGTGTAGCTATTCTTAAAAAATTAAGAATGACTCGGAAAATGGCCCCATGTCTACATTCTACAATGACCACAATCACTCATTCTCTGATGCAGCCAGCACCTTCCACATACCCAACAAAACATCACTCACTCTAAAAACTTAGTTCACTCGTTACACCCTATTCCGTTTCCATTCAAATCACTCTCAATAAATGAGAAAATAATGTCAACACCACTTTGAAATTATATTATGCAGACAAAAAAAAAGGGAGTAACGTACAAACATGCACCGTACAAACCAAAATAGATGTATATATACTACACAAAAGAAGCAGCTCTTTACAAGGCTATGACCCCCAACACCAGGATGGTTACTACATGGCCACAACACACTAGAAAGCTTTATAACCCTGGTCCTTCGAAAGCAGACTTCTCACTGAAAGGCGTTCGTTCTTTGGCATCAGTCACTGGGATGGAAGACCATGATGTGCGTACGAAGTGGTTCTAGCAGTCTTTTCAGGTCACGAGTTCTGCAAGAAAATGTTAGCGCTGTTTGTGAAATGTCCACGCTGAAGCTGAGGCCGTTGAAAATGTTGAACACGTTGATAAGTTACATGAGCACAGGAATATGAATCGCTTGGGCTTAACTTGGGTTACGGCAACCAGGTTACGTTAAAGGGACCAACAAGTGGCCAGTACTGGTGGAAATTAAAAGACTGTGAATTATATTAGCGCTAAATTCAAGCATCCTTTTCAAGATTCGACTGAGATATTATTTTTAAATTGCACTTGCAATTAACAAAAAGCTGGTATGTTGCACAGCCTAGTGGAAGAACCTCAAAGCTAGACTACAGAGCCATTCACTTTGCTGTATGTAGTATGATGCTTTCATACATACCATAATCAGTGCTCAATATTATAACAAACACTGATGTAATGAAATATAGCTAATAATGAAGTAAATTAAAAATAGGCTTGCCAATAGATACAGTGTTAAGAATAATTTTCATAACAAATTTTTGCATATAACAAACTTATTTTTTCGTAAGATGCAACTTTGTTATAATTAGATTTGAGTGCTTATTATTATCCATCCCCACATTAATCCATGCTGCTTATAAAATAAAAAGATGCTAAGAAGCAGTGCAGCCTTCACAGCAATAAGTTGAACAAGACGAACCGTGGTGCATGCGCAGCAAATCGCAGCACCCAAACATGAACCATAGTCGCGCTCAACTCCCACTGTTTTCGTGTGTGACTTCAAAGCCAGTACAGATTGAAAAATTCCAATTTTAAGTGCTTCACGGCATTTTCCATGTTACCGTTCTGTGATTATACATTCTAGCTAGTAAGCTTTCCATTGCATTAGAGAAAACAGGCACCATAAAAATTGCTTGTTGGTCCTTTTGAACACCGACTTCCTGTTTCTGTCACGAACACTTTTTCTTGGTGGGTTACTGCTTCCATGCCTCCATATAAGAAACACCAAGTTATTGCTACAGGGGCAAAAGAAATTGGCAACTTCATGCCTATTTTCACCTTTGTAACCCGATTCCTGCTCCGTGGTATGAAACACGTTTTTGCTAATGTTATAGGAATTTACGACAGTAACAACACTGCTAAAAATGTGCCGTGGCGTACAAATTAACCAAACAGCATATAAATAACAGTGCAGTGACTTGACTGTTAAAGCCTAGCACCTTCAAGGTTTAATACTGACATGATACAATATTTAAATGCGAAGCATTTCTTAGCGAACTTCTGCGACTTTGCGCGTATCTATCTATCTATCTATCTAGCCGCCTACGACTTTTAGCTCTCCAGGCCGTTTCCATACCGGTATCGACACCAAACTTGGTATGGAATAACATGACTGTGTGAAGAACATATTTGACTAATCATAACATGAAATGCATGACATGGATGTCATGAATGTCATGATCTACAATTTATGGTCCTGCAGCTCTTGCGGTGGTTTCGTTCACATGACATGTTGCAAAACTGGTATGGTATGACATGACTGCATGGCGAACACAAGCGACAGACCCTAACATGAAAATCATTACATGCGTGTCATGTAACAACATGACTACATGCCAAGCTCATGATGTGCTCGCGGCCGTTTCGCTAGCTTCACTAATACCAAATTTTGCATTACAGTATGTGAATGAATTACGCAGGTATGTGACTGGTGCAAACATGATAATCATGAGATGTGTGTCATGTAACAACATGACTACATGCCACGCTGATGATGCGCTCCAGGCCGTTTTGCTAGCGTCACATATACCAAATTTGGTATTACAGTACGCGAATGGATGACGATGGTATGATAATGGTGCAAACATCATAAACATCAGATGCGTGTCATGTAACAACATGACGGCATGCTACGCTCATGATGCGCTTCCGGCCGTTTCGATAGCTTCACATGTACCAAACTCGATTTTACGCGACGCGAATGGAGGACATACGTAAAAGACACATACAAACATCATAATCACGACATGGGTGTTATGTAACAACATGACTACATGTCACACTGATGATGCGCTCACGGCTGTTTCGCTTGCTTCACATGCCAAATTTGGTATTACGTGTCGCTGATGGATGACAAAGGTATGTGACTGTTGCAAAGATGATAATCATGAGATGGGTGTCATGTGAGAACATGATTACATGCCGCAATCAAGGCGCCAATAGATTTCGACGTGACGCGGTGTGCGTGCTTACTGGCGTTCATCTCGTCAGGTGACGCCGGCGTTGCCACGCCAGGCACGGGTCCTGCCATATACACGCAGGCGCGCGCCGCACTACGTTGCTTTGACGCATGTGCGTTTCAGCGCGTCCGGTGTCCCTCCATCACAAAAAGAGGGAGACGCAGTGTTGTCTGGGTAACGCATCGGCGCGAAACACAGCATGTTGCATTTCGCACCAGTTGCCGTGAGGCCGCGTCGACGGATGCTGGTCGTGCCGGTCGCGCCTGGCGTCAGACTACAGAGTGCTCGCGTTTTGCTAACGTAGCATCGCTGTGCCCAGCGTACGCGCGCGTCAACGCTACATTGGAGTATATTGAGCCCTTCATGATGCGCTCGTGGCCGTTTTGCTAGCTCCATATACACCAAATTTGGTGTTACGTGACGTCAATGGATGACGAAAGTATATGACTGGTGCAACCATGATAATCCTGACATGCGTGTCATGTAAGAACATGACAACATAGCACACTCATAGCGTGCTCGCGGTCGTTTCGCTAGCTCCACATATACTCAATTTGTTATCACGTGACTTGAATAAATGACGAAGGTAAACGACACATCCAAACATAATAATCATGACACGGTAGTCATGTACGTCATCACTTGCCTCCACCTAGTAACGTTATGCTGATTTTAAAGTGACATATCAACATTTCTCATTCGTGCTTCAAATATAATAGATTCCCACTGTACATGGGATCTGTCAATTTTTTTTAAGGCATTTCTTTTTTGAGAAAGTGTCGTAGTTTGTTGCTCCCAACTTTGCTAGAGCCATTAAAGCCCAAAGTAAGCCAGTGATTCACAGTGAAATTAAGCTGTCAATCTGCACTACCATTGCAACAAAAACCCACAAGTTAAGGTCTGGGTGGAGTGGGCCGGAGGTCTTGAACGCAGTCGAGGAGGTGTTGTAGGAATTGCTGTGGCTGGTCTGGTAGCTTCGTTGACGTGAAGAAGTCTCCTGGAAGCCTTAGAGAAGTGCCATACACCAGCTCTGCTGTTGAGCACTGCAGGTCTGCCCGGATGACAGTTCGTAAACCTAAAAGCACCAGTGGCAAGGCATCAACCCAGGTGGCTCTATTGAGGCGGGTAGTCAAGGCGGTCTTCAGTTGTCGGTGAAGGCGTTCCACCATGCCGTTGGCGCAGGGATGATAAGCCGTGGTACGGCAATGTCTGGCTCCGAGGATGCGATTAAGGCAAGTAAACAGCGAGGACTCAAACTGACGTCCACGGTCTGTTGTCACGGTGCCAGGACAGCCAAAACGGGATACCCACGTAGAAATGAAAACGCGGGCAACTGTCTCGGCTGTGATATCTTGAATTGGAACAGCCTCTGGCCAGCGTGTGAAGCGATCGACCATGGTCAATATATAACAGTACCCCTGAGACACTGGTAGAGGGCCCACAATGTCTAGATGAACATGGTCGAAACGACAGCCGGGTGGAAGGAAAGGTTGGGGCGGCGTCTTAGTATGACGGGAGACCTTTGTCATCTGGCAGGGCAGGCACATGCGCGTCCAAGCGCGCACATCACCGTTGATTCCGGGCCAGACATAGCGCTGGGTGAGAAGACGCTGAGTAGCCCGAATGCCAGGGTGACAGATGTCGTGTAAGGAGTGGAAAACGGTGCGTCGTAATGAAGCGGGAACGAAAGGGCGGGGAAGGTCAGCTGAGACATCGCACCACAAGCGCTCAGATGATAATGGATGAGGCACCAGGCGTAGTCGGAGAGAACGGGGGTTCTCCCGAAAAGCGGCAAGCTCTCTATCATCCTGCTGTGCCGAGGAGAATGAGGCCCAGTCGATGGTTGGCGGTGGAGAGTCAACCGCGGCTATACGAGAAAGGGCATCTGCGGCGGTGTTGTCAGCTCCTTTCACGTGGCGGATGTCAGTCGTGAACTCCGATATATAAGCCAGATGGCGGAGTTCACGGGGCACGTATTTGGATGAGTTAGTGCGGAAAACATACGCCAGTGGCTTATGGTCAGTCAGCACGTAAACGAGCATCCTTCCAGGAAATGCCGAAAGTGCTGTATTGCAGCGTAGATGGCTAGTAGTTCCCGGCCAAAGACGCTGTAGCGGGTCTCAGCAGGAAGTAGCTTCCGAGAGTAAAACGACAAGGGTCTCCACTCGGAGTTAATGCACTGCTGTAAGACGGCTCCGACGGCCACGCTGGATGCGTCCACCATCAACCGAGTAGGGGCGTTGCTGCGTGGATGAATGAGAAGCACGGCGTTAGCGACCGCTTGCTTAGCAGCAGCAAAGGCGGCCTGGGCCTCTGACGACCAAGGAATGGCGGAGGACGGGCCGGCGGTCGACCGAAGGAGGTCGGTGAGCGGTCGTAGCAGTTCGGCACAGTGTGGTATGAAGCGCCTGGAAAAATTCACAAGCCCCAGGAATTGGCGTAATTGGCGCAGTGTTGTAGGCTGAGGATAATCCTGAATTGCTTTAACGTGGGACCGGAGAGGGCGTATTCCTTTGGATGATATGTGATGGCCCAAGAACTCGAGCTCAGATGCGCCGAAAGTACACTTAGAGGCGTTCACAACGAGGCCGTACTGCTGAAGACGTTGGAACAGAGCGCGTAGATGGTGCTCATGATCTTCAGGTGTGCGGCTGGCGATGAGGACATCGTCAAGGTACGCAAACACAGTAGGAAGACCCCGTGTGACCTCAGAAATGAACCGCTGGAAAGTTTGAGCCGAATTGCGGAGTCCAAAAGGCATCCGCACGTATTCAAACAACCCAAAGGGCGTCGTGATGGCGGTCTTAGGT